TGTCCTGGAAGAGCAAGAAACAGAATGTGGTTGCTCGGTCTAGTGCAGAAGCAGAATATCGAGCGATGGCTATGGCGACATGTGAGCTAATTTGGATCAAACAGTTGCTCAAGGAGTTGAAATTTGGTGAGATTAGTCAGATGGGACTTGTGTGTGATAATCAAGCTGCTCTTCATATTGCGTCAAATCCAGTGTTCCATGAGAGAACTAAACACATTGAGATTGACTGTCACTTTGTTAGAGAAAAGATACTCTCGGGAGATATTGCTACAAAGTTTGTGAAGTCGAATGATCAGCTTGCAGATATTTTCACCAAGTCCCTCACTGGTCCTCGTATTAACTACATATGTAACAAGCTCGGTACATATGATTTATATGCACCAGCTTGAGGGGGAGTGTTAGAATAGTCATGTAAATAGGAGTAAATAAATAACCCTAATCCAATATATATTAGGAGTAGGACATGTTATGTGTGTATATATATAGGGCTCATTGTAACATATGTCAATACATCAATAATATATTTTCTCCCGTGCTTTCTCACAAATATGATTTGTTCGTCAAGCAGTATGTATATTATTATGCTCAAAATTATTCATCTTCGGCTTTAGACATGTCCACTATAGCTTATAGGTACTGTTTATGCATGATCTTAGAAAATGTGAATGTTGCTCCTATGCTGGTGGGAGGTAGCGCAAACTGTCCCGACACCACCATCATTTAAAAAAAAAGGAAATCTTTTACATATCATTCTGTAATTTAACAGTTTCCTGGTGCAAGTGTCAGAAGTGTGGAAAGCTGATCTCCTCTTTTTGTTTCTGGTGGGTCTCAGATTTTGCTCAAGGGCGCCAACGGGGATGATTTGAAGAAGATAAAACGTGTTATCCAGTATGGAGTTTTTGCTGCTTATCACCTGGCTCTGGAGACATCTTTTCTTGCTGATGAAGGTGCTTCCTTGCCAGAGCTCCCCTTGAAGTCCCCAATTAAAGTTGCATTGCCTGATAAACCATCAACTATTCAAAGATCCATTTCTATGATTCCTGGTTTCTCTCTACCCATAGCCCAGAGACCGCTCGATCACCATTGCCTTGGCATGTCATCTCATTCCTCAACCAATCTGTTATCTGGTATCACATCATCATCCAACAATGCTCCAATGCTTGTTGAACAGTCAAGTTTGCCTGAAGTTTCTAACTCATTAGCTAGTGCTACAACTGCCTCAAATAAGGTAGACCTTTCTGATTGTCTTAATTCCTCGCATCATTCAAGGCTTCAGTTCTCAGATCAAGCTGATGAGAGGAATAAAATGGCTCCAAATGACCCTCATGAAGAATCTCCACTGGACAGAGGTGAAGTTGCAGGAAATGATTATATACCGAATTTTCCTAGCAATGCTTTGAGGGATGCTGGTAGCCTTTCTCATGTTGTGGAAAGTTCACGCACTAGTCACTTAACTTCAGAATTGTTGCTACCGGAATTTGGTAATAGTTACTTTGAGGAATTAGGCTCACTGAAGCAAGAGTTTCCTTCCTCATCTTCCGATCAGCAGAGTATTTTAGTGTCCCATTCAACACGCTGTGTTTGGAAAGGAACTGTTTGTGAGCGCGCTCATATTTCTCGAATAAAATACTATGGACTCTCTGATATGCCTTTGGGCCGTTTTTTACGGGACCAGCTGTTTGCTCAGGTAATATCTCTCTTCCTCTTTTAAAGTTACACTTGATACATTCTTTGCAATCGTGGTTTATTCTGGTAATCTTTTCTGATATATGTAATACATTTACCAGAATTATAGGTGTCCCTCATGTGAAATGCCGCCAGAAGCACATGTTCGTTGCTATACTCATCGGCAAGGCAGCCTCACAATTTCTGTAAAGAACCTACCTGAACGTATCTTGCCAGGAGAACGGGAAGGAAAGATATGGATGTGGCACAGGTGTCTGCGATGTCCTCGGACCAATGGTTTCCCTCCTCCAACCAGGAGGGTATTGATGTCTGATGCTGCTTGGGGATTGTCATTTGGGAAATTTTTGGAACTCAGTTTTTCAAATCATGCAGCAGCGAGCAGGGTCGCAAGTTGTGGTCATCTTCTTCACCGTGATTGTCTCCGGTTCTATGGGTATTCTGTTTCCTATATGGCATTTTTATGCATTAACTTTTCACACTGGGATTATAATGCCTTCACCTGACTTTAATTTTCTTTAATCAACTACTGAATATCATTTAAACTGTAAAGTATCCAGAGACAGAAACCTGAAGCATCAGAAAAATTATCATGAAATCACCTGGGATGCATTTCCTCAATATGGTTAAAGTCGGTATCTGTAATCAAGTACATTTTACATATAAACAGAGTCTCACATAAAGTAGTGGGAATATTACCTTCTACATTGTTAAATTCAGTGCCTAACCCCACTTTATGTGAAAGTTTGTTGACTTGAATGGGTCCTTAGCTTTTAGTGGTCTGCATGAATACTCTGATGATGTAGCTCATCAGCATGCATCAGCTATCCTGACGGCTTTGTGTTTGGTTTTACTGAATCATTTTTGGTCGTTTCCAATGTTTTGGTGAAGGAGAATCCACATTGGGGAGTTCTTGTGTTGCTCTCTGACTGAGCATGTGATGCTATTTCTTCTTGCCCTTGATTGAATTACATCATTATAAGAGAGAACATTACAGCAAGACAATGCTCCCAGAAAACTTGGATAAGTTGCACAAAAAATAATAACATCACGTAAAAGACCTATATTAGGAAAATCTTACAGGTGTATGATTTTCTTGTCAGTTTTACTACTGTTGCACTTGCAGTTCTTCAATGATGATGTTTCCCCTGTTCTGGGTTAATATTCTCAGTTGGTGTTCTGTTATCTTGTGCATGATTGTGGTTATGGTGCATGTATAATTAACTGGTGTTGCTGGTCCAATCTTTTTTTTTTTTTTGGATTTATTTCTGTGATGACACCACAAAGTTTTTTTTTTTCTTGTTGCCCTAGCAATGGTTTGTTCGGCACTTGATATTTGGTTTTGTTGCCTCAGGTTTGGGACAATGGTAGCTTGTTTTCGATATGCTCCTATTGGTGTTTATTCTGTATTTCTCCCACCTCCAAAGCTTGAATTTAGCCATGATAATCACGAGTGGATTCAGAAAGAAGGTGATGAGGTACAGTTGGACTGAATTTTTGCCTCAATTTTGTTACCTCTATATTTCGCTTTTTTTTTTCCTAATGTACTTATTTTCTGCAAGAAAAGGTGCACAGCAGGGCGAATGCTTTGTTTGCTGAGGTGTCCAAAGCTCTTCATGCAAAGTTGGAAAAAATTTCTGTTGATAGTAGCTTGAAAGCACCGAATATAAGTGAGCAGATTGTAGAGATGGAAGAAATATTAGAGAAGGAGAAAACTGAGTTTGAGGTGATTCTTTTATTTTTCCCCTCCTGTTGCTTAGATACTAAGTTGTATCATCTGCATTGGTGGTGAGGTATAAACAAATTTGTCAGTATGGCTGATCGAAAAGATAGATATTGGTTACCTTTTTGATGTTCAACTGTTTCTAAAGTTGACAGCCCAAGTAATTTCTCTCTGTAGGGTGTGGATAACATGTCTCAAACCGCTAACTTTTTAGGACTGAGAATTTTGGTGAAGTATGTGTTTAAAATTCGGAGGTGCGTTCTCTCACTCTAAGATATGTGAAAATTAATGCAGCAACGAGTTGGAGAAGACAGAAAAATCAAGGTTCTCTAATAAGAAGTAGCAGTAGAAAAAGAATATGAGAGGAGCTAAGCCTTAGTGTAGCAACTAGAAAAAAGTTTTTCCAGCCCGATTAGAGGAGGAAAAAAGAAAAAGACGTGTCTTCCCATCCCTAAGCAAGACGGTAAAAACAAGAAAGACTTGTAAGAATACATAAGACCATCTGAGACAGAGAGGGAAACAAGGTGTATTGACCGAAGAGAGACATCAATCCCAAGATGAACATGTGTCCCTAGTAAGTTCTGAAAGGAGCTTTCCATACCAACTTAGAGGTCGACTTTGGTAACTCCATTATCCATATGCTTAATCCTTTGAGTAGGTGGTCAACCCAGAAGTTGGGAGAAAACCTTCCATTTTAAATGTGTGATATAGAACCCTCCCTTTTGATAGGTTTCCTCACGCTTTGCCTCGCATCTCTTCCTCGTGAGCCATTGAGGCACCACCTCTAGGTTCCCAGCTCAATCCCTCAAGGGATTCCCACCGGAAGAGACGAAGAAGAAGAAAAGGAGAGGACGCGGAGGAGGCAGAGAAAAGAGACATAACCCGCCGAAGCCAAAGGTTGAAGATTCGGCGTGCCTCAACCTCTCTTTCTCTTCTTTCTAAACTTATTGGCTCCACTGATCCGAGGATACCTCGATATCCTTCGCCTTTATATGTGCTCTCCATTTTTATATGTGTTCTTCATCATACAATATAGTTTCGGCTATAAAGAGCTTTATTTG